AACTCATAATTATATACAACTCGTGACAATTCGTAGAGACCTATTCATTTCAGATGAAAGCGATATGAGAAATTTGTCCAAAACCAATTGGTGTACTTTTATAACCAGGCAAAGTGGTAAATATGACTTGCAGATTCTGATGCGAACAAAGAAATGGGTTTGATTTTGTACATTTCCGCATTCAATTGAATGGATTTCAACCTAAATTTATGATCCATGGGATTCAATGGATGTGTTTTACAAAGAAAGTTGAGGTTCCACTATAAAATTAATAGACAATATGGAGAATAGTCCAACATTTTATAAGCCCTTGCAATGTTTCTCTTTTCACTGATATAGAATTCTTTTATCTTCACATCCTCACTCGCTTCCTCACATGTGGCAAATTTTCAAGCCAAACATGAATTAGGTGACATAAAGTACGTGTGGCCGTTAGGCTTCACACATATGCCAACCCACTATGATACCATGAAGAAAGTTGAAGTTCCACCATAAAACTAATTAGCAGCCCAACCTCTTATAAGTCATTGCAATTTTTCTCCTTTCACTAACATAAGACTCTTTTATCTTCACATCCTCATATGTTAAAGAAGATGGACAAATTAGCTGGTGGTATAAGGACAATATGGTTTCACTAACATAAGACTCTTTTATCTTCACAACCTCTTATAACCATGCATGTTTTATAAACATTCATATGGCCTCAATTTTGGTATTTTGGTTTCTACATTTTAAGACATTAAGGACATGGCTCAAACGGTGGCTTTAAAAACCTCGTGGACGACTTTAACACCTTAGTCCTTATGTTCAATTTGTTCGTAGTTAAGAACCAATGACTTGAAGAGTAGCTGAGTTGAATTTATTGTTTTGCTTCTCACATGCTAAACGTTATCCTTGACAATGAAGTTGAAAGTCAGAGTACATCGAATAGATGAACAAACATACTACAAAACTGATAAAAAAAAAAAAATTTGGTAAAAAATATTTAAAAAGTGAAAAACAAATATGGAAGATTCTAGTAAAAATGAATATTGAGTTGTGAAGGGGAAATGAAGAAGATGGTTGGACTTTTATAGAATAACAATATAAAAAAAATTCTTTTTTTTATTATTTTTACCATTGGATTAATCTTAGCTGTTGATTTTCAAACAAATTTGAAATCGGACGCACCAGAATGCGCCACGTGCCACAAGATAAAATTTTAATTTTTTTACTGTTGAAAATGGCACGGTCCAAATACTCTGGTCTTTAGAAATCTAACGGTTGCAAGGAAGCCAAGTCAACGAGCCATTGGGCTATGTTAATTTGCTGCAGCAAGGCCCACTGTTGTAGTTTTTGTCTCCCAATTGCCAAAATCACGTGAGTGCTACATGCGCCTGACAGAAAAAAAAAATTAAAATAGTGGTTGACGTCATGCGGACATCGGCTGCCTGCTAGGGTAAGTTCAGGCTTATCTTGCTTGACCTTTTAGACGGGCTGGTATTGGCCTAAAATTTACCCTCGACAAATTGTCCTTGCCATCCACCAATCGGTGGACATGCTCTAATAGGAGCTGATTTTCACATACCCTTTTTCACCTCTCACACATTACTCTGAAACAAAAATAAAAAATATAATTAAAGAGAAGCTATAGGAGGGTAAAAGCTTTGTGTGGTTATAACTTAAAAGTTACTTGTTTCTCATCAATGATCACATAAAGGCTAGAACTAGGGAGCAATAAGTCCATGTCCATAAAGGCCCGATCTAGTACAATGTTGGGCTTGAGAAAACCTTGCTCGTGTTCTTGTGGGAGATCCTAGCCGAGAGAAGATAGAGTTACAGGAAAGGTTTTGGCTTTTTTATTTTGTTTGGCTTTTTTCTTCTTTTTTTTTTCTTTCTTTCTTGTCGTCCTACCTTGTGCATATGTTGTATTTTTTTTGTTTTGTTGCAGCTATGATATTTTTCAAGTGCTTTAAGAGCAATACCATCACTATTCTTGCGAAGGAAGGTGATTCGCAAGATAGGGGAATGACGTTAAAGTTTTGTGCGCCATTGACTGGCCCTAAGACACTTGTTTTTCCTGCAAAAGACAACTCGATGCATATCAAGTCGTGGTCTTCTGAAGTATCTTGGGAGGTGATAGATTTTGGTAGACCAAAAACAAAGAAGAAAGTGTGTATGTCGAGGATTCTTATCTTGAATCCTTCACACCATGTTCGTGACAATCCACAAGCTTTGTTTGAGCTTCTTGGTGATCGCATCCGTAGCGGAGCTATGACTTGGAATAGCACCTTATCGACTACTGGAGAGGCCGTCTTTGCTAAGTTTTACTAGGAGTGGCTTGAAGATGTCTTGGGCGGATCTAAAGATGTGCTTACCAACGTGGGCCTTTATCACATCGTGTACACATCTTTGTTTAGTTATGATCGTCATCCTTCCATCCTTCGTGCGTTCTTTGAGCATTGGTGTTCAGCAACCAACACACTTCACATGTCATATGGGGAGATGTCGATCCATATTCAAATAACGAAGATTTATGAAGAAGTATTGCGCTATTTACCTGTGAGTGGTATTTTTGGATTGATCCTTTGGTGGGAAATGTTCTTCATTTTAAACTGACTGCACAATATATGAGGAACGTAGACAATTCGAGAATCTCCAAAATCCTCACAAAGAGGATCCTCATTCAAAATACAAAAACAAAAATTAAATTAAATTTCAACCACAATGTGCGAACAAGCCCAACAGCAATGATTCGTGCATTTCGATGGGTGGGCAGTGCTAAACCTGTAAACGGGTCATGTTTATTAGGTTTGGGTCGGGTTCAATCCGACCCGTTAAGTTAACGGGTCACCCGAACCCAACCCGTTAAGCTAACGAGGCATCCGAACCCGACTCGTTAAGCTAATGGATTTGAAGTAACTAATCGAGTACTTCAAACATCACATGAAATACAAGGTGCTCATACAATCGATTAACAATGTGTATTAATTTATCTTTTCCTTTTGGTCTTCCCGAAACTTCTACCATTTTTCTTTCTTTCCTTCCCACTTCTTCCTTCCCGAAATTTTCTTCCTTGCACTGCAGAGAGAAAGCACTACAAATTTATGTTTTACAACTCCAAATTTGATTTCGTTTTTTCCTACAAATTTCTGGAGAAGAGCATTGCAAGGTAATTGACTTTTGGGTTTACAGCAGATTTTGATATTTTGTGTGCTTTCTGTTTCGTTTTTCCAGAATCCGGCGAGCTCCGTGACCAATCCCGGCCAAGCTTGACCACGGTTGTTACTTACAATGGTAGAATCTTATTCCTTTTCATTTTAGCATCATTTTTGTGCTTAAATTACAATTTTTAATGGAGTTTTAAGTCGAGATCGGAATCAGGATGAATCCCTGCCAAATATTCTGGTGTTCTCCCTTGAGGGTTCCGGTGACCTATGTTTTAAATCGTGGCTGACATCGCCCAGACATCAGCCTTGCGTCACGTCGCCTTCGGGCTCTCGGGCTGGCAACTCGTGCCAAGCCTGTCGCTCGGGCCGGGCCTATCCCTCAGGCTGCCACACGCTAGACCAAATCCGTCCGGCTCTCTGGCCCTGTTCACCCCTATCTCCCGAGCAAGAGCTCCCGCTGGAGCTGCTTTAAGAGCAAGTCCACCGGGGATGAGAAAGGCCAGCACCCAGCCAAAATACTAGCCCGGCACCCAGTGAAACCACTCCAGCCCAGCATTTTGATCGGCACCCAGCCCAAGCTGGTCTCCAGGCCAGCCTAAAATCGACAGAGGCGTGAGCCGGCCCGTATGATGCCAGCATGACGTCGTGGGCTTTTTAAATTTTTTTTTTTGCAATCTCCACCTGCACCGCCTCACCACAATCTCCACCTCCATCACTCTCCGTCGCGCCTCCGACGCCTCCCGATCCCTGAGGTTCTTGGAGTTCTGTTCGTCGATGTACCTGAGGTTGTCTTTAAAGATTTGGAACTGCCGCTCATTCTCTCCCAGGGCGTTGTATGCCTTGCTGTGCTCCGCCAGCCACCCCTCGTAAATCGACATCACCTCATCGTCGGTCCTCCAGCTACCTGTGGACTTGCTGTCTCCGAGGTTGTTGTCGTATGAGATGATGGACATGTCGAGGGCCGATGAGACAGTGAAGATCGTGAGGAGGAGAACCGCCACGGCCAGCGACGATCAGTACGGCCCCATTTTTTTGCTGTGTTTGTATGCTGAGAAAATAGAGAGGAGAAGGGTGGGAGTGATAAAATATTAAAATATTAATATTAGATGATAAAATAATAATTGATATGAATAAAATAATAATTGATATGATAAAATATTAATTGATATGAATAAAATAATATAATATTAGATAGACTAGGTGTCAGCGCATTTTTAGGGGTGGAGATGCATTGACCTATTACTGTTCACTAAAGTATTTCACTTGAGTAGATAAATGAGTTGGGTGCTGGCACAAAGTCCTTAGACCATCTTCAACCCTTGGGCTAAAAGCCAAATTTTTTAGCCCCGGAAAATTTAGCTTTTAGCCCAGAAACATCTTTTCTGCTCCAACCCGTCTACCCTAAAATTTTAGCCCGGAATTATTAAAGAATGAAATTAGCCTAAATTTTTTTCTTAAATCAATTTTTTTTTAAATAAATATGTAGATTATTGTAAATTAATTTTATGAACATTTTAATCTAAAAAAATTTAAATTCCGATAAACATTTCGCATTTAGCCCGGGGGGAAAGCTGGGGGGTATTTGGCCCAGAAATAGCATTTGGCATTTAGCCTAAAATTTTAGCATGGGTTGGAGAGTGTTTGGGGGGTAATTTGACTTTTAGCCCAGATGGTCTTAGGGGTGGATTTGCTCTAAGAGATAAAAAGTAGACTGTGAAAAATTGTACCTGAAATTTTATATGTATTATTACCTAGATTTCCGGTTGCCCCAGTTGTATGGAGCCGGTTGGCCGGTTCAGTTGAAGCCTACCAACCCTCTCTCTCCTACCTACCCCCTACTACTTATCCTCCCTCTGTCCCCCAACCCTTTTCTTCACCTCTCACCGCACATCACCCACTATTGGTCACTGACTGACTTGAGTGGCTGAGCTCTCCACAACTACCATGGCTGCCTCCACCGCCGCCCTCATTTCCTCGGCCCCCTCCCGCGCTTTCTCCTCCTCCAAATCCACCCCTCTCGTCGCCGCCTCCTCCAAACCCATCTCCCAAACCCTGACCTTCCCCAAATCCATCCACGGCCTCCGCCTCCCCCGCGTCGCCCATTCCGCCTCCCTCTCCCGCGGCGGCTCTCACGCCCGGAAGTCCTTCGTTGTCAAAGCCTCCGCCGTTGAGCTTCCCCTCGTCGGAAATGTTGCTCCTGATTTCGAAGCCGAGGCTGTTTTCGACCAGGAATTCATCAAGGTCCAATCTTTAACTTAATTCATCGTTTTTGTTTTGTTTTGCAATCGCATCTGTATTTTGATTTTCCGGTCTGTTTGGGATTTGCTTCTGAGAGATTTAAATTGATTCTGGTTCATACAAGTGCTTTCTAGAGAAGCACCTGCCAGATGCTTCGTCAACAAGCACTTCTATGTTCTTTGAGGAAGCATTTGGACTTCGATAGAAACTTCAAACATGTTTCAAATAAAATAACTTCTAGCATAAGCGCTTCTGAGCAGAAGTGCTTCCTATAGAAGGGGTTCCCAATGACTAGTGAGCCCTTTGTTTCATTTCAATTGAAGATTTGGTTTTGGATTTCAGGTCAAGCTCTCTGAGTACATTGGGAAGAAGTATGTGATTCTCTTTTTCTACCCATTGGACTTCACGTTTGTTTGTCCTACAGGCAAGCATGGTTTCGCAATCAGCATTTCTGCATACAAGTTTTTAATCTTTATTGAATTCTGGATGAATCTAACTGAATCTGATTGATTTGTTCAAAAATTTATGAACCCATCTTGCAGAGATCACCGCTTTCAGCGACCGCCATGCTGAGTTTGCGGAGCTCAACACAGAAATCTTGGGTGTTTCAGTTGACAGTGTGGTATGTTGCCCTGCTCCCCACTTTCTTCAATACCACAATCTGCCACACATACCACAAAAAGTCAATGTTCTGCCTATATACGACGAAAAAGTTCAGCCTAGACATGTAGCCATGTTCTCATGCAAAGGTCAATAGCTGCATATCGCACATGCGATAATATGCTAAGTTGCACCTTGAACTATATGCATGCTTTGTTCTTTAGATGAGTAAACAAATAAATACCGTAACATGAGTTCTAAAAGTGTCAATTTTGTGCATTGGGATTTTTGACTTCGAAATGAAATTGGACTCGTGGTATGGGTCGTAGACAATGCATGTGGTTTTGGTTGAGCCAAAAGATCAATTCCCATTGTTGGTGGAGAAAGAATACTTAATAGACAAGGAGGATATTCAACCAAGAAAAATAATAGCAAAGTTGAAATAGAAATTGAATCATCTGGAATACTATAATTGAGGTTAATCAAACAGAGTTACTAAGATTGGCGACATTGGAGAGTTGTGTTCTAGCTGATGGTTGATGAATGATGTGAATCTACGTATTTTCTGCTATTTTTTTCTTATGTACATCTAACTTGTGTGCCTGTGTGTCTCTCTTCGATGTAAAGTAGTTTTAAAGTTGCTGTTCCATAGATTGGTAAGATGAAATTATGTTGGCCTTATACTTTTTTTTTCTTTTTTCTTTTTTGTAGTTTTCCCACCTCGCATGGGTCCAAACTGATAGGAAATCTGGCGGTCTTGGAGACTTGAAATATCCACTGATCTCTGATGTCACCAAATCAATTTCAAAATCTTATGACGTGCTGATCCCAGATCAGGTATGATATGTAATTATAACTGATTCTGAAATTAATGAATGATAAACTTGTGAAATACTCAGTGCTGTGATATTCTGGATTATTTAGATGTTTGGTTTCTCTGTGATAGGGAATTGCTTTGAGAGGACTCTTCATTATTGACAAGGAAGGCGTCATTCAACACTCCACCGTCAACAATCTTGCCATTGGCCGTAGTGTAGATGAGACTAAGAGAACGCTCCAGGTAAACATATTCATCAAGTCCAAAATAGAAATAGGATGCTTTAGTTTCCAAGAACTGCCATACATCTGAGATTTTCTTCGTCGTGTTTCCTATTACATTTTATAATCGGTTTTTGTTGCTTCCTTTCGTTGCCTTTGTTGTATTCTGCAGGCCTTGCAGTACGTGCAGGACAACCCCGATGAAGTTTGCCCTGCTGGGTGGAAGCCTGGGGAGAAGTCCATGAAGCCAGACCCCAAGGGCAGCAAAGAGTACTTCTCCGCAATATAAAGCTGGTACATTGCATATCATTATCCATGTCGAATTCAAATAGGGAGGTGTAAACGAGTTTTGTAGTTGTGTAATCTCTTTTTTCAGTCCTTGGTTATTTTGAGCATCAGCATGTCACAATAAAACCCAATCGATGGGGCTTGCATGACACGTTTGTTCAGCGTATTCAAGCATCATACAATTTCGTTCATCGCTTTCTTTTTTATCATGTAAACAGGCCGAGCCTCTGTAACTTTATGTGATCTGAAACTTGTAAGATGGAGAGAATAATCATCATTCCTCTTCTATTTTGCATTTTCCGGGCAAGGGTTGGTTCGGTCCGACTAATCTTCAAACCGTCATCTTATTCAGAATTTGAAGGGAGGAGAAGATAATACAAGCTAAATAGTCATTGAATACGATCAACCGGTTACTTTTAGTATCGTTGTGCAATTTGATTACTCAAGCAGTTAGTTCAGTATGGAGTTCCGTTGTGAAGCCAATCGCAAAAACTCGGAGCAACTTAAATCTTTATAAGCGCATGTAAGGTCCTTTAGTGATTCATACTTTCAAACAATTGAGATTTTGCGTTGTTTCAACCTCACCCTGGTTTCTATACCCAGTGAGTTACGTAGCACACTAAATTCGAATTTACGACTTTTGGTGGAGTCTGAACTTCTGAGGAATCATAAAATCTGCTTAAATAAGAAGCTGAAATCTCACATGACTGCGTAGTAGAGCAGCAATGCTAAAGACTTTGAGCAAGTAAATTGTATCCACCAAAGAGAAGCGACCGTTATCCATTTCTCTACTAATCCCTGTAGCTCGTCTTTGGAGTTTGGAAGGCAAATTGAAGGAGAAGCTTTTGGAAAGGAAGGAGTCCTGCATTCTTCAACGCTAACCCTTCCCATTACTTGTCATCAAATCTCCAAAACCCAAATCCTGAAAACAGCAAACCACACCACACACAAAGCCCAAGGCTAAGGATCTCCACGTTCCCAGCAACACAGGGAACCAAAACTGGCAAGAAATTCCCAACAATATCAGCAGCAGCAGCGGTTAAGCCTTCGCAGCCTCTTGATCTAACAGAAGACAACATTCGAAAGGTCTTGGCCGATGCAAGGGTTGAATTCGGGCAGCTCTTCGACACTTCAGTTGGCATGACAGGTTGAACTCTTTATATTCTCTGTATTTCGTTTCATTCATTTTGTTTAGTTTCTGGTGGTGGGAAATCAGTTAAGATAAGGAGATGACTTGCAGGACAAGTAGAACTCGCGGAACTGGACGGACCCCTTGTGAAGATCAGTCTTAAAGGCCAGTTTTGGCACCAAGTAGTTTAAGAGCGTTTATCCACGCATTTAAAATTCTGTGTTTATATCTAAATATTTGGATCCGACATAGAAGTGGTTAAAAAGTTTTTTGGGCCAATAGAGAAATTTCAAGCTGATATCATGATTATGATTTTGAATTTTTCTAGTGCGGATTCCCTTCATATAACAAGTGTGAAACAATATAAATGCGAAGAAATACAAAAATAAACCAATCACTAAAACACAAGGACTTACGATGTTAACTAAATATGAGCTTTGTCGTCAAGTTGCCACAAGATTCCCACCATCAAAGAATAAGGAGAACAAACTCAAGCGTTTCCTCACACTCACTAGATCGATCATGATTATACTTTTAACACAAATTAATACAAGTTAAGTGTCTATGCATCTACGCGCAAGTGATTCACAATCGTTGATTGGTAGGAACCAAGCATCAATCAAATCTCTTTATAGTTATATGTTAAATTTCAAGTCTCTTATGAAGACCAAGTACATTCCTTGAATTAGCACATAAGCAAGCAACTTAAATTTTCTTGAACTCGTCATTCTTTTTATTAAATAAAATGAACGTGTTTCGCATTTTCCCCCATTCTTTTTCGGTATTTTTTCCAATTGTATTAGAAATTTAGAAGCCACCAAAGTATCTACGAACTAGAGCAAAAGATTTGCAGATAACCTAAATGCCAAGCTATATGCCAACCACATACGTTCAGTTTTTTTTTTTTTTTTTTTTTTTTTACCCTTGTACTACCAACAACAAGAGAAGCCTTGGATTTATTGACTATTGAGTTGACCTTTGAGGGTGAGGATCTTATTCTGATTCAATTAGATCTATACCGTATCTTAAAGCCTTAAATCAATTGCAATTTGGACATTAATAAACTTCATGTGCCTCACATGCTGACACCACCTGACTTTTAGAACCTAATCAACAAACCGTCCTCAAGTTTCATGACAAACTATTTTTAATTAGAAAATGTCTAAGAGATCGTATTTTATAAATCACATTATGTAACAGTTGATAATTGAATCATTTAGTTAAATCATTAAAGAAAGAATTTAACTATCAACCGTCATATCTCTCGTTTGTTGTAAATTTAAACTCAAAATTATGAATTGAATTGGTGGTCTTCAGTCAATTCAGTTGTCATGTTGCTTAACCTGCTGTAACAAGAAGTCTGCTTAATATGCTATATATGCATGAAACACAAGCCCCTTTCTTAATGACTAATACGTAGTCGGTCAAATATTTTTCTTGTTTTTTCATATGGCCAATATTGGGAGAGTGAATGCTCCTAATCGAATACTTCATTGAAAATAAAATAGTTATTCAGACTCTTGTGACATATATTCATATCAACTTCAAAAACAACAATATCCACTTTCTAAGTTTTGAGGACCGTATGACGAGTTTGCAATACATCTTTTCGCATATTCTCCTGACATTTTCCTCACAAATTTAAAGAAACTGTAGATGCCCAGAAGACATCGTCACAAAAGAATCGATACGGTAGAACAACCATGTAGCTAGCCAAGAAGAAACTTGAATTGATTCCTTTAGAGTTTTACAAAAAGGGCAAGCATTTCCTTCATTTTCTAATTTTTTTTTTCCTTTTTATCTTCGAACAAAATATATTATAAGAGGACTTTGAGAGAGTTTCTGGGTTCAGCTACAAATACAAAAACCCAAAGTTCCTATGCTGCTGCTGCCGCTGATGATGTACGGTGTCATACCGTATATTAACCGTATATACTGTGAAACCAAAACGCAAAAAAAAAGACTTGCATGATCAATCGAGCAACACATCACGTGGCCACTCCTGGTTCAGATACATAGCTTATTCTGTCCACCTCTTCCCACACCAACTTTGATGTTACTTCATCGTGTTCTGGTACATATTCCTGAGGCCAAAAAACCAAAACATATCATTAAGTAAAATTGTAAATTACGGTGTAAATTAAGGTGTAGTTAAATAACAAAAAGGGTTAGTTCGTACAAATCTTCCCTGATGAAACTATACGAAAATACATTTTCTTTCGGTAACGTGGAAGGCTCAAGCACAACTACAAAAACTAAGCAACAACTGATCTTTCCGACAAACCCTTGGTAAATCTTCTAACAAATCTAAACCTAGGTATTGATAATAGCCAACTTTAGTTGAGAAACCCAATTGCATGCAACCGGTGACAAGAACGCCTTTTCCCAACCCAGCATTGTCGCCAAGGTCAGCCGGATAGGGTTGGGAAGGACCCATATTTTCAACCAGATTGAACCGGACCAACCCATAAGCATGATGTTATAGTGTGTAAAAAAATGGTTCTCATTTTATTGTACAAAGGAAATTTCTCCATTTTTGGTTATATAAAAAATCTAAGCTAAAAGTCTACGTTGTCCAGACCATCCTTATATTGCTGAGGTCAGCACATGCATAGGATCAGTGGGAATCCATGAGCATCAATGTGGCATAGTTTGAACACTACAAGGACTTGGAGTGTACAATCCGTAACACATGAATCAGGCCCGTTAATATTTATCTTGATGATCATATTCTATTCTATGATGCATATGATATGATGAAAAGAGGCACGAAGCATACCTCCAGTTGTCTGACCAATTGCTTGGCTGTTGGAGCAGACACGATAATGTGACGTGCAGTAGGAGAAATAAAGCCTTCATCAACGGCCTTATCGATGAAACACAACAACGAATTGTAGTAACCGTCCACATTCAAAAGCCCCACCTACAAAAAAACAAGTAATTCTCACTTAATTATTTAATCAATCAACCAATTAATTAATAATATCCAACTTCAAACATCCATTTAATCTCCATATTATATGAATGTTGTTCATATGTCCTCATTGTCTTGTGACCAACAACACCCTTCTTTGACCAACAACCTCTCTTTTTTTAAACCTAAAAAGATAAGAAATGAGAGGCCTTCTCCCATTCAAACGGAGATCCTCCAACTAATCAAACCACCTAATCTTATGCTATCTTTCCATGTGAATTAGAATTAAGTACCACATGCATTGATTCTCTATATCAAACTTTCTCATACATCCATACCACGCAATTAGATTGACTCACATCATCACAATATCATCTCCCTTCAGGTTTGCTAGCTTAATTTGTATGGAATTATAGATGAGAGAGAGAGAGAGAGAGAGTCGTGTACTTAGAAACATGATAAATTAATTAATCATAGACATATGATAGACTTATTTAGTCATGGAGACAAGAGACATGATAAAATATTCTTCAATATGAAGAAAATGATTGTTAATTAGTGTTTAATAGAAAATTTGAGGATATCAACAACAACTATCCACAACATCGTAAGTCGTAACCACATTTGAACAAACAAGAAACATGGCATCATGTGAGGGATTGCTTTCTTGTAAAGTTTTGAATGATTTATAAAATTATTTTTGACATTCAAAACCCTTGTATAGAAAGGGGTGGATAAATATTAAGAGCATTTCTTACAGGTTTGCGGTGGATTCCAAGCTGAGCCCAGGTAATGACTTCCAGCAATTCTTCCAGGGTACCATAGCCACCTGAACATATTAATTTCAATTAAAGGGTTTTACAAAACAATTGAGAGTTGATTTGGATAATGGTTCACAACTTCACATGCACATGGATGGCTTTCAACCCTTGAACCATGTAAAATCAGAGTAAGATCAACATACATCAACATTTAACAATCACCCATGCACACGAGGAAGACAAACTTTAACATTCATTAACATAAATAATGACATTTGTGACACGTCCGGTTCATGGATCAAAACCATACCAGGGAGGGCAATAAAAGCATCAGCTTGACGGGCCATCTCGGCTTTCCTTTGGTGCATATCTGAGACAGTTCTCACTTCTCCAACAGTTTCACCAGTTATCTACAATAATTTAATCAAATCACATTATTAATTAATCATTTAGAGATCGGCAAAACCCAAAGTGATCACTTAAAACC